AATTACAAATTTGTTAGTAATCAATTTAAAAAACTAAACAGAAAATACAATAGAGCTTACATATTTGCTCATTTTATGCTAATCCTTATCTAAGCATTAAAAGCAACCAGTCATTTTTCTTGCTATATGATTGTCATGTGTTAGTTATCACTGCTTTGACTGTATATTTACTGTAATATATAGATATTATGTTGGTTTGTTTCAATTGTAAAGTAATCACAAAACTCGAGGTTCGAGATTTGTTATTATAGATAACTAAACATCTACTGTATAGTATTAGTATATAATTTTGAATATGATTATGACATATTTTATTTATTTAAAATAAAAAAAAAATTTAAATACTGAAATAGTATAAGCTAACTAATATATATAAATATTATGTTGGTTTAGTTTCAATTATAAAGTAATCACAAAACTCAAGGTTTGAGATTTGTGTTTTAATTGTAAAGTAATTACAAAACTCAAGGTTTGAGATTTGTGATTTGTTATTATAGAGTAAGAAGACTTGAAAGAATTATTTTTAAGTATTTCTTCTAATTCTGAATCTGATTCAATATCAGAAGATAATGTTTCAGTTTTATTATTAAGATAAGGTGATTTAGATTCATTATTAGATAATAATAATTCAAGTTCATTAGATTCAGATTGCAAGTATTCAGCTTCATTAGTTATATTAAAATTATCTTCAAAATTACTTAAATTGTTAAAAAAATTAAATTAATTCAAAATTAAATAATTAAATTAAATAATAAATAAATCAATTATATACTTATTATTCTCATTATTATTTAATAAATTTAGACTAATATTTTCATTAATTCTTGTATTAATCCATTGAAAATATTGTTGCTGCCGTAAATGAAAATTGAATATTACTTTTATCAATCAACAACTGTCTTTATTTTTTTCTAAACAATGATTATATTTGCACAAACATTTGTTGTTTTTAAGATTAGTAGAAGATATTTTAATAGTTAATTAACTAAAAAAGGACAAAAAAATATATTTATATTTGCATTTATTTTTTAAAAAATTACATATGATTAGTATTATTGCATTGAAATATTATATATAATCAGTATACCATCAATATTATTGTATTAAAATATTATATATAATCAGTATACTATCAGTATTACTGTATTAAAATGTACTACATTGCATATATAATTATAATAACAAGTGAATTTACAATAAATCATTACAATTGCTTTATACAAATACATGTTACAAGTGTCAATACAAAAATATTTGCTTAAAAATTTATAAAAAAACATATTCAAAGAAGCATATTATTGATTAAAAGGTATATTAATAAAATATTCTTTAATAATTACCTTTTAATATAGTTAATAAATTCTACCTATTAGGCTTTATTAAAATTTTCCAACCATATAATTGTAATATCATCTATAAGATCATATAATACCCAATTGTTATTAAGTGTTTCTAATAATTTAACTAAACATGGTCCAGATGTTGTATATGTTTGAAGCTTTCTAGCTAATATATTACTAGAAAATCCAGGCATTTGAATTGTTACTTCATCAGATTCTATTGTTTTTTTTTCTTTTATTTGTATTTTTAATAGTTTGTAAAAAATTAGAATTTTTTTGATTAATATTTAATAGTTGATAAATTGTAATCTTTTCTAAGAGAAGAGCATTAACTTGATACTAATTGTTTTATACAATTTTTTAAATAGGTATAAGCTTGATCAAATTTATACAGTATTCTCAAAGATATTTGTTAGAAAATCTCTGGTGTATAAGAGATAATATTATTACTGCTTATTGATTCATAACAAGTTCTTATAAGTTTATTAAAAGTATTTATTTTTTCTTTTAATGTTTGTATAATTTGTTTATTAGAAAGAATATTAGAAGGTAAGTGTGATACTTTTCTTAATAATATTATTTTTTCTTGAATATTGCTACTTTTAATTTCTAATAATATTTCTTGTATATGTATTATATCTTTCTAAATATGATTCTAAATTAAAAGCACTTTTAATTGATAAATAGCAAAATTCTGTTTGAAATAAGGTAGAATTTTGTATTATTATAGTTTCTAAAATCTTAGCAATTTTTTTATAGTAAGTAGATTTTGGTACACCTAAATTTGAATCAAAAAAAGGAGCAACTACTAGAAGACCTGTTTCTAATAGTAGAAACTTATAATATAGCTCTGCAACTTTTAGCCTATTTCCTTTAAGAACCTTATTTTCAAATACTTCATACTCTATTAAAAAGCCTAGCGAACTTACTGAACCAACCATTGCATCTTCTAGATTTATGAGTATAAATTTGGGCCATTGGATTTTATTTGCTAATTCTTTAATGTAAGTATAACTAATTGGCTCTAGTGTGGTACTTCCTTCTTTATTTTTAAGTACTGCTTTATGTTTTTCTAAATAAATTTCTATTTTATCTATATTTGAATCATTAGCAATTGCATTTAATATTAAACAATTGCTTATGATATTGGTATAAATTTCTTAGGCTTTGAGATATTTTGAATGTTGATTTGTAATTATTTTAGATATAGATTTTGTTATACCTAAAATATAAAAAAGCATTTAGCAAAATAAAACAAACAAATAATTAATTAATTACTAATAGACATACATTGCTTTTTAATTGTAGAGGTTTGTTTATGATTATTTTTATATCTATCACCTTCATTATATCTGTCACCTTTATTATATCCATTGCATTTATCATATCTGTTGCCTTCTTCATTATATCTATCATCTTTATTATATGTTGCTCCTATCAGATCTGTTACTATCACTATTCCCTTCTTCATGAGTATTACTACCCTCTTTATTATATTTAATAATTAAAAAATCTTATTAGTAATTTATTTATAAATATATGTTTAAACATTTTTACTTATAAATTCTAATACCCTCACTCATAGAAAATATATGAAACTCTTCATATTTGACCTTGTAACTTGTTTCATTGTTACAGGGATCCAAGCTTACTTCAAGTATATTATCTATCTTACTAGATAATTTACTTGCGAAATCGAGGTTTTCTTTAGATCCAAGCTTTTGGTAGCAAAATTGTCTTTGACTATCATCTATATACATGACTTTAACTTTGTTCACCAAAAACTAAATACATTTAATATGATTATTAATATTGAAGAGTCTTACAAATATAAAGTATGCATTATATTGCTGGTAGTGTATTCTAAAAATTAAATTAAATAAATAAAAATAATAATAAAAATTAATAAAAAATTAATAAAAATTAATATTATT